TAAAATGAAATAATTTAAACAATAAATGCTTTCGTTAGATAATTCCACGTAAGAAATAAAATAGAAATGAAATCCATAATAAAAAATGGTGAAGTCAAAATCGATTCTTCATTCAACAGCGAGAAAAAAAAGAATTAAGTAAGAATAAAATGTAGTCAAATGTCAAAACATTGTGAAAGCATTGTGAATGTTCATATAGTGTCCAAATATAAAAATACTTAATATTATTGGAACTATAAATTAGAGACAGAAAAAAGATGATAGAATAAAAAAGTGTTTATACAAAAATAAGAATCATCGAGGCATATAAAAAAATTAATGACTATATGAGCTCGCAAAAATAAAATATCAAAAAATAAATAAAAATTGATTAAAAAGATTAATTTATTAATGTCCGTTTTTTATGAATGTTGATTATAATTCTAATCTCGGTTCAACTTGCTCTTCATCTTTTTCTAATTTTTAGAACTAAAAAAAATGAAGAGTTAAACCGAGATTAAAATTAAATTACATTGATTTAGAAACGGGCATAAGGGTGCCAGTATGGAACAAAAATATAATAAATTAGAATATGTCTGTCTATATAACGATGTCTTATGCGTTTATGAATAACAGTGAAATAAGATAAGTAATCAGATTGAAAGTCAAAAAGAAATTAACAAATAATGTGTTTGTCGATGACTAACATAATAAAGATGTCAAATTAAAAATTGTTATTAGAAAATAATAAACAAAAATAGAAATCATCGAGGCATTTAATATTTTTTAATTTCATTAGAATATCTTATGTATTGTTTAATGTATTATTGTAAAATTGAAACGATTCGTTAATCTGCGAAATAAGATGTACTTAAAGGAAACAGTCATCATCGTGATTTATCCAATTTTCTTTTATAATATATAAAAGGTACGTAAATTTTGTATAAATGTAAACGTTTGTTCGATTATTTTCTATTTGCAGGATAAGATATAGATAAATATTAATGTATAAAGAAACCAATTAACCTCAAAACTCTTTTTTTCACTTAATTCGAATAAGATAAAACACCTCTCTAAAGTATATTTTATCGATAATTTCGTGTAACATATTTTCAATAAAAGTATTGTTAGACAAAAGAGACAAATGTAGTAAAATGAAGTAGTTAAAAAATTGCTCTCGAAGCAATATTCTTCTATCCATCCAGCGTAATTCTGTTTCCCATCATATATGTCTCCCTTTCTGTCTCTCTCATCGTTATCGTGAATATCTGCTTAATGCTTATTATACGAGATAAAACTCTAAAATAAAATAATTAATTTAAAATTAATAATTTTGTTTAAATCACGATCCGATGAACCACGATCCGATTTCCTTCGTGGAAGAAATTCGATATTAAAAAAGCTGTTTATAAGAAGTGCGATTGGAACTGATTTTCATAAATTCTCGCGGCGTGTATATCGAATATGCGTCGTAACAAACGTTACCCAGAGAGAGTTACACGGGACACGTTTCAACGTTGCCTCCGTGATGCCTATATTGCTGTCATAAATCTAACAAGGCAGCCCGACATTAACCCACCAACCGCCTATACTTCCGGCACTGGCTCGACCTTCATGTCCGATAAAATAGGCGTCTGTACGCTCCTTCGTATTATTTACGCCGATTTAATGAACCGCGTTGGAGTCACGTGCTCCGCCGCGAAATGTTTCGCGAATTGCGAAACCGATGAAAACAACCGTGGAAAATCGATTTGTAAATCTTTTTCCACGAATACATCGCGTCGTGATTTAAGTTCGCCGTTTGTTCATCTTTTACGCTCTCTTGCGGCAGAAACAATGGAATACATTTTTTTCCGTAACATAGCCACGGGGGATACTGTGTTATGTCTCTCTATTTCCGCATATTTATTTTCACGATGTATATTATTTATGAAAAATGAAAATTATCCGAATTATTCGTTGCTAAATACGATACGCTTGTATGATACATGCCATACATTATATAATATTTCGCGAAATATTCGCTTTAACTAAACATAAATACATCTACGTACGTAAATGTATTAAGGGAAACATAAATGAATAAATTATTTTCGAAATTATATTTTTTGCCAGGCTTTCATGAATATTTTAAAATTCCATTGGCGTTGTAATGTTAAACATTACAATAATAATTATCAGATATTCTCATTCGCATCAGAATGCAATTATCGCGTTATTCCATGGTTACATCGTTAAGTTAATGCTAAATTGAGATATCAGGACCGAACATGTTTGAAAACAGGTCCATTTCAGGTAATATCTTCAGTAAACATATTCGTATTATTATTTAACTGACGCAAGAACATATCGCGTCAGCAATGGAAAGATTTTTACGATGCGATTGAATGTTCACTGTAATAAAAACGACATACGAGCTCCTGCACGCGGCAAACGCCGGAAATATTGTTCATATCGATTTAATAAAATGCCCGCATTGTGGTGTACGGTGGAAGTGACGGCGGTCTGCTTGCGAAGAGCAAAAAGAGAGAATATTCCAAACGAAATTTCCTCCGTACCTCATGATCGAAGATATGATGCGAAAAACCACTGCAACTTCAGCTTGCCACGGTTTTCTTTTCTTATAAAAACAGAGAATTCTTATATTTAATTGACGGAACATTCTCGCGTACACATCACGAAACGCATTGCCGTCAATGTCGCGCGTTTGACTAAAATTTCATTGTGTACTTTGTTGGAAAAAGCAATCGTTTGCCTACCGTTTTTCCTCTCGATTTTCCATTGATTCGCGGTAGTGAGCGAGCAAACCATTGAGTTTTGAGAAATAAATCTCAATGTTGTCAAGATTCGTCGTGGACCAGTGGAGTGAAAAATTGAACTACGTCATCGTGTTTGGTTCATGCCAACATTTCTTGTTTTTAATATTCAATAAACAAGAAATTTGTACCTTGTAATTCGCAGGATATTTTTGCGCGACTTCCGTTGTGTTCATTTCGCGTAGAATTTTCAGAAATTGGTAAATTTCACTCAATAGTACATCGATAATGTAAATTTTTTTATGCAAACTCTTTTAAAGCTTTTAAAATATTAGCTGAGTTGCTAGATTTGTAAAGTACTATAATGATATGTTCATTTTTTTTAGCACACCGAACCAAATTACGGAGTGTTCATAATACATACAATATTTCATTTACATATTAAATGCATTTTCTAAATTTTTTGGAGTAAATCATTATAGTAAATCTTTGGAGTAAATCACACAAAAGAATGAATCTCACTGCGAAAATTTAGAGAGCAGAGAGCTTAACCTGTACCAAATTTTCTGTATTTTTTTAAATTTATTTTCTTTGGGGATTATATATATTGATGTGTATTTTCATCTTCTGAACTATACAGACTATATTTACATGTATACCTTCATATATTTTTATATGAAACCTCAACGATAAATAAACCTGTATTAAACTAAAGAATACATAAATTAAACATTTATATTTAATTTAGCTTATTCATCCGTAGTTCATATAATTTAACATTTGTACACATTTCTTTGTTCATAAAAAAATTTGATTACAAATTTGAAAAGTTGATTTACATAATTTATGACTTTATTTCTCTCACAAAATATGTTTATATACAACAGGTACATAAGTTTGGAATGGAGTTGCGTCTTTTAGTCAAAATGGTGGAGAGTTTTGTGATGCTTTATAAATCTAATGATTTTAGATATAGTCATAGAAAAAAATTTCCGAAAAAGAATCCAATACTATTACTTTTTGATCTATCATAAAATAGAATCGATATAAGGATAGTTATATTTATTTTTAACAGAGGAATATTTTACTCTTAATTGAAAAATTTTATAATTTAGAAATAATTTTAGATATCAGTTTCATGTCAAGTACTGTGTTTCCAACATAATGCATTATGATATCGCTTAATGATTTATTCTAAACGTAAAAATCCAACTTAAATTTATCTGGAGACACTGGTAGTGTCTCGGTATTAAACTGTGCGAAATATGGACTCCTTTATACCAACCGGTGAGTCAGATCGAGGTTATCAGATCTCAATAACAGCTATATGTTATTGTGGACATTAAGTCTCATAATATTGCTTAAGACTAAATTAACTTTCTTTAATTTAAAAGAGGAAAACAGAAATTGTTGATATAATAATTTTATATGTTTAATATTAATTGTTTTATTTTTATATTACACAAGGCTGTAATAAGATTAAGTACGTCAAGAATATTTTTTATCTTGTTACCAGAAATTCTTTCTAAAAGAGTACTTTTTTATGCAACAAAAGAAAATGACACTATACATAGATATAAGCTGCGTTCCGTTATTCACTGTGAGTACTGAAAATTTATAGTGCACATTACTATAGATTTTCACTATTCGCAGTCAACGGAATATAGCCATAATTTTGTACCAATAATAAACGTTTATTATTTAAAAAATCTAATTTCACGCAAGAGAAACATTTCATGAATGTAAATAAAATACGTATGTCATTTACTTTTGAGTTATTGCTCAACATTATGCACGCAAAAATAAGGTACATGTTCATGCGATCCAGTTGTCGACCTGTTATTCATCCCGAAGACAATGGTACAATGGTGCCGCGTTAAACACATGCTACCTTAACATTCGAAATGATGTTATGCCAAGCCGATGTGTCTTCGTAACGATGATAATATGAGCAACTATTATTCACAAAAGTTGCAGTGTAATGTTATGGGATAATGAGCTATTGTGCATTTCCTATTTGTGAAAAAAAAAACAGAATATATGTTAACGAACATTTCATCTCGAAGCGCGAGCATTCTATTAAGATAAATGTGAATACATGTATATATTGACTTAAAAAAGAACATTTGAATAACCGTTGTACAGTGATAATAATATTATTACATAACGTATATATCAATAATAAAATAGTATAAGCATTGAATATTATTGTCTCGTGTGTTCATTAGTAATAGCATTTCTCTGACTGGACATTTTTTGTTACAGAGCCATGACAGCTGGCAGGGACACGATAGTGACCAGGTGAGCGCTCGATACTTGGAAAATGCTTGCGAAAATATAATTTCCATTAACACACACCCGCTCTTTCCTGAAAACTTTCCTTTCTCATACGCTCTATTCATTTCCCTTTATCACTTGCACATTTCGTCCGCTACTTTCGGAAAGGCATGCTGACTCTGTGAAATCCTTCCGCAATTTGCATGTTGATGTGCTAGCTTTACCACGTTCATTCGTTCCGTCCGGGACTCATGTTGTACGAAATTTTCTGGGCAGCGGCAGAATCAGTTGAATGCAAATTGCACGCTCTTATACATATAATACGACCACCTTTTCCCATCCGCCATGATTTTCATAAGCCTTTTTGTGACACGTTTGTGATAAATGTATCCATTGTTACCAAAGTTTTTGACGTTGAGATACGAAATTCGTATTCTTCAGTGTGTTTCGATATTGGATTACCAGTGAAGTCTTTTTCCGTGCATTATGTTCAGCTAAAAGTGTGCATCAAAAGAATGCAGCACTTTTTATTTGATTTCGAAACAAGATTCAGTCGGTTTGTGTTAGAACTTACATGTGAACTTATATGTGAAAGGCTTCTTCAACTTCGCTGAATCTTAAAAAAGTGAAGAATGCGAATCTTGTTTTTATATCCGTCATATAAGACCGTCATGATTTTCCATTTCGCGATTCTTTGTCATTTATCAAGCAATTAAAACCAACAAATAATTTATGTTACAAGTAATTGACATTCGTGGGTAATTAAAAACTGCAGCTGAAGATCAGTGGAGAAGAAAAGCTATTTGCACGACTGCGACGATGCGTGCTGCAGAGCTGCTCTTATTTCGTCGTCTGGTTATATAATTATAATATGCGCACTATATTGCGCGCCGTTATTAAAGACGCAGGTGTTTAATGACGTTTATGCGAGCAACGAGACTGGCATGATATTGCGGCTTGCGAAAATATTTGTCGAATTGAGAGAGAACCACAACGCATATCGCGGTTTGACGATCGATTCTTGATCGCGCCGCTATCGACGAAACTACTGTTGATACTTTCCCGCCCTTGC